TCATCGCTCATGTGATCCACCTTCTCAACAAGCAACTTCTTCAAAAACATGTTCTCCTTCTTCAACCCATCATTTTCGGCTTCGAGCTTCTTGGTCCGGTCTTGCATCTTCTGACTCGTCTCCATGAGCTGCTGCTCGCGCTGCTTCTTCTTCTGCCGGAAGCGTGCGGAAGCAGCTTGATTGCGTTTTCGCTTGTCCTCTTCTGCTTCGACAACAACCGGATCGGTGAGGAGACTTGCATTGGTGCGTTCGGGTGATGTGGCTGATGATGTGGATGTTGCGATGCTGTCGGGGTATGGCGTGCGATAAGCGTTGATGTTGAAGCTTTGTGTAACGGGAGAGAATCCCTGGAGATCATCAAAGCCGATCTGGAGAGCACTATCGTGCTCGTAGTGCTGCGGGATGTGTCCTGTCATGGTCGGCATTGCAGGCGCCTCGGAGGTGTACGGTAGGCCTTAGAATGACGTTAGTGACCATTGTCTGAGGCGAACAAAAAACAGCCCAGAAGATGCGGTGAACGCTGGGTATTTCATCGATCGAACGATTGACGCAAAACATGCGTCTGTGCACAGCTTGCATACACACCTCCCTAGGCAGGTATGCAGTTGTCGCAAGTCCCGTCGCCGCGTTCGATCACGTGCAGCTAGCGAGAGCACGCCATCCCATCCCGAACAAACGTCATCCAGGCCTGGCAACTCAGAGGCACAGGAATGACATCCATACGTAGGCAAAGGACCTAATGGGAGGGAGAAAGAACTCGTTGGGGATGATGTACATGAAATTGATGGAATAGAGATAAATAGAGGGGTTGCGCTTACCTGGTGCCGACACACCACTGCTGTGCAATGCATACGCAAATTGCTGGGTCTGCGCGATGACATCCTGAGACTGTATGTGCAGTGAATGTAGGTGTTGTCCGCTGGGGTCATATTCGTGGTTGTGATGGAGATTGGCGGCGTCGAGGATATCGAAGAGATCACGTCCAGAGGAATTCCCACTCGCATGTACGTCGGTGAAGGTCGGCTGCCCAAAAGCTTGCTGAAGATAAGTTTCCGACATTACTCTCCATCGGCAACATGCGTTCTCGCGCAATCGCGTCTTTTCCTTTTGTCGTTCGGTTTCTGATCGTCGGCCTCAGGGTCGGGGGAATGTTGTTGAGCTTCGCGCTGGGCTTTTGAGGGGGTTGAGGGTTGACGTTCGCTCCCTGCAGGCGCGATGGTGTGCCACCCTATGAGAATCACACAAATGCCCACCGGCATGCGCTTATGGGCAGCGCACCCCACTGCCACAGTTGCCTTTTTGGCAGCCATGGGAAATGGCGATCGCGTCGGATTGCGCCATATTTCTCATACGATTGTCAACGTCCTCCACGCTTTTACCTAAATTGCGCCGCCGGACAGCGTCGAAATACCAGCGCGCAGTGTCCCGTGTTTTGCTCGCATGTTCGTAATCGCGAAGACCCGCGCTTGGGTGGGGCAGTATCTGCATGAGGCGTCCATGGGTTGCAGTGAGCTCGCGGCAATGCTGAGCCGGAGGCACTGGGCAAAGTCCATTTTCCCAAAACCCACTTTGTGCTGTCTCGTCCATGCATCGTGACCGATTGTTTTGTGAACGCAACCTTTACTCCTCTTCAAATAACTCTTGTCTTGCTGTATGTCTGAGACATGTAATGGGCATGTCAGTAGTGATCGTAACGTTGTGTAGAGTGAGTCGTCGATACACAATGTCTACACACTCCGCGGAGTAGGGATATAAATCAGTACTTCCAGGTACACGGCATGGGCACCGGACGCCTATACCAATAGAATATACTAGGAGACCAATCCCGATATGAAGACTCGAACACATTATGCAACACTTGGGCTGGCCCCGAACGCAACACCGGAAGTCATAAGTGCAGCGTACAAAGCTCTGGTGCTGAAGTACTTTGATGAGCTCCCGGAGATGGCCGGTGCTGAGGGCGTCGCGCGTGCTGCTGTGCTTGATGAAATTCATGAGGCGTTTAATGTCTTAGACGACCAGAGCCAGAAAGCTGTCTACGACGCTGAGCTTACAAGGAAGGATGACGAGGTTATTAACGAAGCCTCTGCCTTTCACCATTATCCTCACTCTACACTGGAGGACTGCACAACAGCGCCTACGATAGAGGAGCGGAAGAACTCGATGCACGCTCGGGTACGTGAGCAAGTCAAATACTGGCGAGTGCTGCGCGAGAAACGTCGTGAGGCTGAGGCACGTCTGAGTGTAGACGAGCTCAAGAGCCTGGTGGAGATCTGGGAAGAAGCCGAGCTCGAGAACGCAGCCGATCCTGTGATGAAGGCTCGATGTGCCACCGCCACTTACGAATACGTGGGTGAGCTGAACTCTCGTGAGCGAGAGCATGAAGAGCTGCCAGCAAAGCCTTCAACACCGAGGCGCACAACAGAGATGCCCGCAACGCCAGTCGCGAAGAAACATCGTCTGAAGATACCATGTGCGCCCACAAAGTCAATTGCTCCTGCACGCATATCGTCATCGATCAAATCAGATGTTGCTGCCCGAAAACCCCGTTTTGATGCATCGCCGACACCTGCACCGTCCTCTCGTGTAGGCGCGCGCGCCGCCGAGCTTGAACGGGCCGAAGAAAAGCGGGTCGAAGCAGCCAAGGGTGGAGCCGAAGCCCGCAAGGAACGGAAGGCCCAGATTGAGGCGGCCAAGCAAGCCGCACTTGAGAAAAAGGCGGCCGCTGCTCGTGCCTTCAAAGCGGATCTGAAAGCGGCAGCTGACGAACGGGATCGTGCGAAGGCTGAGCACATCGCAAAAGCTCGAGCCAAGGTCCGCGGAGGACCAGTTGACATCAATGATGCTACTGGTGATTTTGTCGCTTCTGGAGAACAAGAGGGTATGTTGTCGCATGGGGTTGATGCCTCCGATGAGGGTATGTCGGAAGACGTCAAGCTACAAGCGGACAAACGTTTCGATGCATGTGGCACCGAACACAGTGACCTCTGTTACTGAGGAGATTACAGTACGCGGGTAGTTGCGTAGATGAAGATGTATCAAAGCACACTCTATGAGCGTGTTTGATACTGGCTATACGGTGTAGCGCGTGGTGACACGTATGCCATGGACGTGATTTTCCCATCCTCTTCTCTGATTCTTATATTAGTCAATGCAAATAACACTGAAGCAGACCAGCTCACCTTCGCTCTTGCCCATACGCATATCCAATCGCCATGTTGTAGAGAGTCAATGAAGTTCTCGCCACGTCCAGAGCCTTCGTTGCCTTCCCATGTTGGATTTTCTCTACATCCCCAGACAACACGATATCTCCGAATGAAATCGCCATCAAAGACAGACGTGGCTCTTGCGACCTCATTGCCTTGCAGATACCAAGCGTGTTGACCTTCAATACCCATCGGGCGTGACGGGTCATCATGTAGAAACGTCATAGCCCGCATCTCGTCGCAGTGTAACCTCTGTGGCTCCGTAGTCGATGGCGAGCGTGGTACATTGCTGAAGCCCAGGTCACCGCATATGCTGTCTATGACGCTGTGGATGTTGCTTTGGGGGTACATGTTGTCCTCGAAGTTTTCAGCGACGGTTTCATCGTCCATATCGCTGGTCGGAAACTGCGGGCGCACGATAGAGACCTCAAACCATGAAGAGGTGTTGTATGTGCCAGTTGTACCCTCTGTTGTCCAGCCCTGGTCGTGACTGACAATCAGAAACTCTAGCTCTTTGAGTCTGGGCGTTTTGTGATGCGTGGTTTCGGGCTTGTCAAAGATTATCCTCATTAATGGAGACGCGGCGGAGAAGTTTTCGGAGAACTCTTCGTCCAGAATCACAAGAGTCCTGTCATTTTCATGGACGTGCTCGACCCAGTAACGAGCCTTGTCCAGAATGTCGAGGACGAGTTCGTTGGGAAGTCCTAGGCGGTGATGGAGGAGGGCACGGGTGCGATGAACATCACGGCGACGGGGCACGAACGGTCTCATAGAGCTGCTTTAGTAATTGGCGCTTTCGGTCGGTCGCAGCGCAGAGGAATTAGGGTTGAGAGGTTAAAGAGGGTCGCTGTGGCATGTGTGCGAAGACACCCAATGGCAGGAGGGCTAGTGGAGAAACAGGCTTAGTGTCGCCCGCACCATCCCCCCGACGAGCCGAGAGTTACCACGGATCGGCACGCATGACAACTGGCGCATTCGGCCCTGCTGCCCATGTTTAGCTGGATCCTTATTCTAACCTCAGTGGAAATGCGAGAGACTTCAGTATTGCATGGCATTGCCGCTGTCGGTGTGGCAGGCATGCGGCGTCCAGCAAAGCTACGGTGACTCACCGCAGGAAGCTTCCCGACTACCATCCCGCAATGTTCGTCCACACTTCAGGGTATATGCACGCGTTCTCCTACAACAATTTCTCGAAATGTCTTGCACCAAATTCACTGTTCATGTCAAAATGTCATGCTGTCGTCGGCGCGACAATGTGATATCAAGGTAGGCTGGGGAATGACTACCTAGGTCTGTTTCTTTCACTTGCAAATCATCTTAGTAGACCGCGCCTACTCGACTTATTGCGCAAAGCACTCATAAAATATACAAGATTTTCAACGCGGTACCATCGGCTCAAGAGTTTCTACTCCGTCGTGCTTGCGTTATGGAACGTCTCTTGTGCCGCGAAGCATCCGCTCAAGACCTCGCTGATAAGACCGCAACTTTCAGTTTCACAAGTAGGTGCCTTCGCGCAGTGACTAACATTCCAGCGCCTGTGAACAGTGAAAGGTTCAGACGAATCCGATCGAACTAGGTTCCTAATCTTTCCTTGCTCCTCGATTAACTTCTAGAAAGAGAAAGCACCGCCCCCAGTCGATTCAACTTATTGTTCACGAGCTTCGTCAGAACGACCACAAGTCTATCAAGGTAATTCCTGCAAGGTTCAATCTCCTGCGATCATGTTACTGACCATTCTGTAGTCCCTCGACCTCACTAACTACTCCACCGCCAAGTCGACGAAGATTCACCGCGATGTCCTCAACCAATACCGAAGAACGTATCCGCAAGCTCTGGCAAGACAAGCAGCGCCAAGAGCACGCGAAGATGCGTCTCTGCGACGACCTTCAGCGCGAGGCCGTGACCTACAACAACAAGGCCCTCCACTATCGGCAAGAGCGAGATTTCTTCCAATCAGTTCGAAATGGCATCCGTAGGCAGGAGGCTCAAGTCTCGCTTGTAGGTACTTTGAGCAACGAGCGCCCATCTTTCCTCTCAGGTACCCATGATCTCGAATCGGCAGTTCGCTAATGCGCGTTTGCAGGAACAATGGTCAGCGCATGCGGTCGGCAAACACTACGACCTAGAAAAGCAGATCAAAAAGCTCGTCGTCATCACCGCGGCCCGCAAGAAGCTTCAAGAACAGCTCGGTATGCCTCCTACTGAGGATGGATATGTCGACTGCGGTAAGCATGCTGGAATCGGGTCAGTTTTGCACTACTAATACATTCAAGACATCTCGCTAATGTATGAGTAGTACGTCATTTCTTCGTTCGTACATGTCAGAAATATAGATTGGGAAATCGGCAACAGCGCGCTACAGCCTCAATATACGGAAGCGCTTGAAGCAGCGTCTGGGATGGCGCACTCAACAATGTCCTGTTCTCACTAACGTCTTGTTAGGTAATCGATACCTGCTGCTCAATCACGAGCTAGATTCCACTACTAGCGTTCGACACTACATGGACGAGAACATGGGCGGGTCTTCGCTCTTCGCGGACGAGGAGTGGCGGTCGTAGACACCATTGGGCTATAACGCTGGGCAACTTCGGTTGACTGTAGCTTCGTCTTGTGTGAGTCGGTCGAGGGGTCACAGGCGCCATATCCAGAGACGACGGGTGAGTACCGGAAGGAGGAGTGAGCTGCTTTAGTGCTTGTAGTGATGGGTATCAAAGTTGTTGGACGAGGTTGTAATAAGCATTGTGCATATGAAATGAGTAACGGTGCAAGACTGTTGAGTTGGAAGAAGAGTGTAGAACTAGATAGGTAGACTCATTGCAATCAGCATCACCTTGACATGTTTACATACGCTATAAAGCAGTGACGATATTTCTGTTGGTGTTCAAATCTATAAGACGTCAAACGGCCATTTATATCCTCCTTCCTATCGCCCGTGGCCCCTGAAAACATTTAACATTATACCGCTTTCACATTGCAACAAAAGCTCTGTAAGCCTGTATGTGCGCGTCTATGTTCGCCAGGATTTCGCATTCTTCGTCCATGAGACGCCTTTCCCCAACGACGCGAGAAGATGTGAGAAAGGACGAGGAAGTCGTCGGCTTGGGAAGTAAAACGACGTGGAAGATCGAACAAAGGAGGAAAACAAAGAGAACATGATGAGAAGATGAAGAGTCGCAGCCGGGCGTAAATCATGATTTCGCAATGTGAGGCTGTCGTTGCTAAAACAGAAGCGGCTTCAGGCGCATAGCTGTAGGTTCAGTCACAAAAGAGATGCGTGCTCCATGCAGGGGTTCATTTGCGCCTTGTCCGAAGGTGAACAGCCGTCTGAAGTCCAATGGTAGCTGTGCAGGGTGTAATGACCTACAAATTGGAAAGAGACTTTCGCAGGCCCTTTGCATCTTCTCCTCGTCGTGCGACCCGTCGCAGATGCAAAGTACCTCTGTAACGGATGTGTGAGGGTTTGACAAGTACGGTCAAAATGTCATAGCGTCGGGTCGTATTGACGAAGCCTCTATCAAGACGCAACTCCCTCTCGCTACCCCGCCACACACCTGCACCACCACGTTCCGATTTGACCAAGACTTCAGAATCTTGTTGAGGATATCTCTCCGAACTCCATAGTAAGTCTTTTTGCGCGAGCGAAAGCGTGCTTTTCGACCCGCGACTGACACCTTTTGTTGCCCTACAGACCGCCATCCCCACAAGCACCCCGCGACCGGACACGAAGCCGATACTCGTACATTCGAGCTAGGCATGCCAGCGCCAGAGATGAAGAGGTCGGAGGAGGCGACAAGGAGGTACTTGGCCGATACACGCAGAGATGAGGTGGCGAAGATGGTCATCTGCGAAGGTATACAGCGCGAGGTCGTAGCTCTCGACAGCAAGGCCAAGTACTGGGGAGAGCGCGCCGCCCACTACCAGGCCTGGGGAGATCGGCGAAGACAGAGGCTTCATGCTCGTACTGCCTTAAATCTTCAAGTAAGTCGGGATTCGAAGGCACATCCGCCCAGCCTAGAAAATCGTGGCTAACCAATCCTCTGCAACAGGAAGTTTTCGACAAGAGCGCCGCGGACCGCGACGAGATTCTCGAACTCGAGATCAACATTCTCCTATGTTTGACCCGCCTCCGCAAGCTAATTCAACGAAAGCTCCGCATGGCGCCAACGCGGGTCGACTACCTCTACAACGGCAACACCTCAGATCGGGGCGAGCGCTTCGTACTCCTCGACCCGGAGGTGGACTCCGCTACAAGTGTCCAGAACTACATGGACACTCGCATGGCCGGATCATCGTTGTTCGCGAACGAGCTGTAGCTCCCATTGGCCTTGGCTTGATGTAGGGGCGGAAGACTCAAGGGGGATTGACGCGACAGCCCATACTGGCACCATTAGCAGTACCCTCGTGCCCGATAGCTCGCTCCATACTAGACCTGGGCATAAACGGGGTGATACACGGCGTAATGGATAGCTCTTAGTACCTAGACAATGGCGTCGCGGCGCAAGACCGTATTGGACATGGATAGATGAGGCAGGAAAGATACATGAATAGAAAGGGAGCCCATACCTACCTTCGCAGCTATGCAGCAGTATCCACACCATGGAAGTTTGTCGCATGTCAGCAGCATGCTGGATCGTGAGGCCTACGTGATGTCTACATCTTTGTGCTGCGCATGCCGCCAGGTGTCCTCGAGGCCCTCAAGGCGATTATCACAGCGACAAGGTGCGGTTTGGCGCTTTTGAAGTCGATCAGGCAGTGCGTATCGCTGTCATCTTGCGTGATACTCCATAGATCGCGGCTATAGAATTGCAGTAGTACTTCTCGAAGCGAGCATATAGCAATTATGTCAATGCTGCGCTTGGAGGAGATTAACCCGCTGTCGCGTCCTGGCCTGAGCCATCCGCGCTCGAGTCCTCCAGCTGGCATGTCATGTCTACGCCGACAAGTGCAGAGTTGCTGTCAAAGCAGCTTACCTTGAAGCGACGTAGCTAGCTGCGTCTCTCCTAAGTCTAATCTCTAGTCGCAAAAGAGCAGAGTGCAAGTACACGTCCTTCGCAAACGAAGTTGCTGCTGCTGCTCCCGCTGCAGAAGCGAAGACTTGGAAGAGCGCGCGTGCTGAACCAACCCGCCTCGCCTCTCGAGGAAAGCATATAAGAGGAGCTCTACACAAGCACAAAAGGTTGCACCTGCCTCTAGATAGATATTACATCTTACCTTAGTAGTGGAATAGGAATTAGAGAAAAGATAGGGCTGTACTATCTTCTAGTCGCACTACGCTCTGCTGAAGCTTTCGCGGTAAAAAAGATAACAAAAAAGAGCAAAAATTACGGACTTTCAACCGCGGGAACTCCACCACCTATTTTCGAACCTGGTGATACACAAGTTAGTAACTTGTTTTCTGTCAAGGCCTCATCGGCCAGGGTACGACGTTGGGTCACCATCCCAACGCCGTACGAGATATTGGCAAGATTAGAGCAATTATATAGCCAAAGGACTTCGAGGTTGCTATGGTGGCCTTTGTTGATTTTCGAGGCGCGAAGGGGCGCGTGCCTGTGCGGGGATTACGCGTAGCGGGGCAGCGGCGGCGAGTGCAGAGACTGCTTCACATCGTCCACGGCGGCGAGGAGGCAGGGGTCTGCCAGTGAGACGAAGCTCCGCTTAGACGTGAGCTGCTGCTCGTCGCGTTGAGCTCGCCCCTGTAGCCTGAGTTGCACGTCCTGGAGTGTGTGTGACATCTCAGGCTATGTACACAACCAGCCATGACATGAACGTCGAGCCTGGTAGGATCGGTAGCCTCGAAGGCGCATATCTCCTGAAGCATTGAAGATTCTTTTAAAGCATGGTGTTTGCGTTGCATGACGGTCCGGTCTGACGTCGCTCATGTGTGGCAGCGGATGTTCGCACATCCACGTCTGCACCCACGCCTGCACCCAAGCCTGCACCCACGGCATGCAGTCGTTCAGCATTGCGCATCGGCATGGAGAGACGCAACTGCCATCACGTAGTGCAAGTACGCTCAACAGTCGTGATTGCGTTCGATGCACGTTTGCGGTGGTACCCGGAACAAGTTGAGACGGGTCATGGGTGAAGTTGGCCACACGCAGCAGCATCCCGTTGTTGCTTACCTCGCCTCGAGTCCGTGACGTCGCGCATTACTCATTAGAAATATGTGATACCGTTGTTGATAGTCTTTGACTCTTGAGCGTAGCTTCGATAATGCTCGAGCCCATGTCCGCAGTCGTAAGCTTCGAAATCTTGATACGTGATGAGCTATGCCTTCTCTTGACCCGGTACATCTTGGTAGCGGCAGGCTAACAGCCAAATGCGATGCATCAAGGCGTGAATATCGAAAGTGGATAGCATAGACCCATCTTGCATACCTGGCGAGGTAATACCTGGAGCACAGGTGTTGGAGTCGTGTTTCCGAGCGAGTCAGTCTTGGCTACATCCGAGCAGAAGACGACAGAGTAAGGGTGGGATCGAGGTGAGCTCTGGTGTGTTCTACAAAATGCCGATCGCAGCAGCAGGATTCTGTTAAAGATTGATCTCTTTATGGGGCGAGAGAAATACGATATGTGGTCCTCCAAGGTGAGAGACTCTCTCACCCCTGAATATAGCGAAAGTCGATCCAACGAGGGAGCGAAGATGACCCGTCGAAGAGCTTTCGAGTCGATCCGGATGAAGGACATATTTTTGGAATGATGTATGCTAAGGCAAAAAGCCAAAGGGCGTTGATTTGAAGCACAGTCAGTTATACTTCGTGACGCTGTTCCGTGATGATGGCGGATCGATGGCGGACTTGAAAGAGACGCTCCGTGATGCGTGACCCATCAAACCAGGTTCATTAGGGCTTCTTGTCGAGCCAGCCCCTGAAGTAACTGATCCTCACATATTCCGCTGGGAGACGCCGTTGCGCAACGGACATCCTCTTCATGGAAACATGAGACGATGCAAAGAAGGCCAATAAGGAATCCCCGTGTCGAAGAGCGTAAATTGAGATGCATTTCGATGCGCGTGCCGCTCGACACCAATGCATCAAAGCCGCAGATTGTTCAGCAGCCCGTATGTCCGCTGCTCAAATGCCGAAGGTTTGCTGGCATCTTTGGCCATCTCCTCACATCGTTCAATAGCGAACTGTTGCAGGACATTCGTTGTTGTAGATCATGTCCGCGATATGCACCTCATCGCGATTCTGGAGATGAGTGCCACTCAGCGAACAGCAGACTTGCGCTACCTTCAAGCAACCCCTGACAAGCCCACATCGTGTGGCATCTTCATAACCGCCAAAGTCCGCACCAAGACCGATGAATAGGGGCCTTGGTATCTAGATCATGTCCAGTTACAGCGGTGCAGCGTTGCGACGTTGCAATCAGACAAGGTTGGTCCTTCAAGCTCCTCCGATGGATATGATCTTGTTTGCGCAGTCAGAAAATCTGAAAGAAAATCGACATGCTGCCGGTTGCTTTTAGATGCTGACTCCAGTCTGGAACTTGAGGCTCTTGCAAGGAGCCCGCGATGATGCCTCACATGCGGAGATGCTCTGAAGTCCGCTGTCGACCAGCCATGTAACATTTACAACAGATGCCAGCTTCTCTAACTTCGCTTCCTTCTAGAATGGCGGACAAGCAAGCATGCGCATCCAAAGTGGCTTCAAGACCAGTAGGCGTTATGATAAGCTGAAAGATAGCGCATACATGTTACCTGCTAGACCATCTGTATGCCACATCTACCAAGTCATACCCTACAAGGCATGCTTGAAGATGCAAAAAGAGATGCGAAAGCATCTGATTTTGCGCTGTGAACAGTTGACCAGATATGGGTTGATTCGATGATGTATGGTGTGTGGGTGCAAAAGCAAAGGCAAAAAAAAGCCAGGAATTACATGCTACTCAATGGTAACAAGACACGGCGGTAAATCGAACCTGGGTGTTGTTAGCCAACTATTCATTCAAGTGATGAACAGTGGTCCGATCCTCTAACCAATGCAAGGCGCCTGGCAGCCACTACTACCAGGAACCCGACACCTGGGACCTTTTGATGGAAATATCCAGAAAGTCTTTGTATATATGACGACAACAACTTACTTTCGGTATGTTTGGCGAAGGAGATTGGCGGGATCGTCTGATTGGCATCGCGGGGGTGTGGGGCAGGCACGGCGGCGACGGGATCACAACCAAGCACCTTGCGTGACCAATGGAGGAGCCGTCGACGAGCAGCTCCTTCATTTCCACCTTCTCATGGCTGTCTTGACCTTGTGCGTCCATCGTCGCGAGTTGACTCGTTTACAGGCCCGGCTACGGGCAAGCCATCAATGGCGGCCTCCACGTCTTGCAATTCGACCTGAATTCCGTCCACAACAAGTCTCAAGGCATCTCCGTCTTGAGTTTGAGCTGTCCATCTGAGCTGCAGCTCAATGCGAATACATGGGAAGCATGCCATGTAGGGAGCTGCACCGACTTGCCGCGATCAGAAATCTCCAACGTTTGTTCCGCGGCGAGACACCAGTACACTCCGTGCCTATGTCTGAGGAGCACAGAACAAGTACAACACTCCATCTCATCACGCTGATTGGGGTGTATAGACGCAGCCTCATGTTTGCATGCGCAGCGCAGGTGCACGGCAAGCGCACAAACTGTAAGAGTGGTCTTGAAGCCCCTGCATCGCCATCCTTGTGACGTCCCGTTAAGAGACCCGATACGATGGAGGCTCTACGTGCGGCTTTTGTTGTTGCGCCGCTCGCATGATGGTTCTCACGTCTGCAAAGTGCGAGTCTTGTTGACCCCCGTGGTGTCCGCACTCCATCACCTCCGCCACCCCAACACCTCCCACCGCGACGACGCGATAGCAGTGTCGTCAATGCAGAGGCGTCTGATACAGAAGACGTGACGATGAGAGGAAGGCGAGTCGTTTCCTGTCGGGCTGACTTGATCGCAGATCTTATCGATGTCCAAAACTCCCAACGCCGTCTGTCCGCGAAGTCTTCAACACCGCTGCGATCGGCTCCGCCGCAGCAATGGTCGTTCTCGACTTGCTCGTCCTTGGAACATTCGATCACCAGCGCTACTTCGGCGCCCTGCTTTACCACGCCGATACGGAGGCATGGAAGCAACACCGACAGGCTGCATCGCCCCGTTAGGCGCACGAAGAACGCATCCCAGATCCATGCAGCACCACGAGACACATGGCAGAAAGCGATCTCCCGGCAAAGCATCACGGCACCGGAACCACCAGACTGCTTGCAGTGGTTCTGGAGCCCACAGGAAGCCGCCGCGGCACTCGATCCTTCTTCATCACCGGACAAGCTCAAGGGCGGGGG